CCACAGGTAAGTACCACTGGCCTCCGCCAGTATCTCTCCCACTCTACGATCTACCACCTACCAGCGCCCAGCGCTGAAGACTACTCTATGGCTATAGCGCCCAACGCCGAAGACTACAGCTAGCGCTACTACTACTGCCTAGCGCTGAAGACTACTGCAGCGCTCCTGAGTGCTGCGGCCGAATCCAGAAGACTACTCGTGCCTACTGAAAACTACCCACCCGTGAAGTGCCTGGGAAGTCCTTAGTTTTAGGCTTTCAGGCTGAAACGACCCTAGTTTTAGTTTTAGCCCTACTACTACTGCCTAGCGCTGAAGACTACTGCAGCGCTCCTCCTGAGTGCTGCGGCCCTCGTTTTTCAGCCTTCAGGCTGAAACGACCGGGGCCTGTAAGCCCTTAGTCTTAGGCTCTTAGGCTGAATGTTCGGGACGGGCCCTGCAGGGCCCGTGTGCCTACGCAGTATGCCACCCCCCCCCCTCCTTGAAGAACCGAGCTTACCTGCGAGGGTGAAGCTGTCTGTCTGAGGGAGGGACCACAGTCCGGGTGGGAGGGGCTGGTCGTGAAGCTTCCTGAGCTAATCTCCGCCTTTCATAATGCGCGTAGATCAATGGTGCGGATGCTTTCAAATCTGCGCCTGAAATCCACGGAGTGTCGTCGCGATCGCATGCTTTGAATGTGACTTTGTACTGCCGCGGCTTGCTGCCGTACTTGCGATCGGTGATGACGCGGTCAACTTCCTCATGACCATCCATAGAAGGAGGGTCCTGCGATCGTCGGTCCGGAAAGTCGTCGCTCTTGGCTGGCGTGTATGTTGCCAACTTCGAGGCGTGGAAGACCGGATGGACCGTTAGATGCTCTGGAATGTTGATCACAAATGAAGGGCCTCGGGCTCATCGCCCGCGGCTGCTGTCACAGACCAAGGTCCAAACCACTTGGGAAGCAGTTTGCGTGAAACATACAAACTCTTCCGCGGAGACCCAAACCAGATCAGCGGCGCGGATGGGACATGGTACGCGACGCCTGTTGGTCTGCTGCTGCATGCGGACTTGAGCCTTTTGCATGTTTGCGCGGGCTTGAGTCAGCAATTCCCTGTACTTCCGGACGGAAGCGGGAGAGCAGGCAGCGTCAATGTCGGCTGGTCGAGGGAGGAGAAGGTCGGCGAAGATACGGCCTTTCCGTCCACCGTGGTGCAACTCGAATGGAGTCACGCCGATCGCTGGGTGCACCGAAGTGTTGTAGGCGAACTCGATGTCGGGGAGGCGGTCAACCCAATCTTTCTGGTC